CCCCCCCTTGCAGAGCCCGAGCCACAAGTATTACACGAGAGTCTCCTTCCTAACCGTAGCCTGTGGCACGTTACCAGGCCCATGGGGCCCATCTTCCTCTTGGTGAAAAGCTAATCGTGAAACTGGCCTCTTCCCTTTTGTGGGTATGTTCTGGAGATAAAGATCATTTTAATTTTTTTTTTAAATTCTACTTTTCTAAGTCTGTAGGCAGAAATAGGAAATGTCCATATTTATGTCCCAAAGTCCCCACTACCAGACGCAGCAGGATTTGAGGGAGGGTCTTTGCCGCGAGCCCAGCTACAGGCGATACTCCCCGAGCTGGCTGCTTCCTACTGGAGCACATCCTTTTGTCTATACCCCCTTTAGAAGTGAGAAAATAAATCCATCAGCTTTCCCGTTGCCAGTTTTCTCTCAGTTCTCCACACCTCTCCCACCTCCCCACGTTTCTTCCCACTTAGCAACCAAGAGTATTGCATGTGAGGAGAAGAAAAAATAGCAGAACTGGAAAGCTTTTTAAAAACACTTAACCAAATGCCTGGGCTGTGTCCGTACTTGCTCGGCTCCCTGAAGGATCCTTCAGGGCCAGGCAGCGGGGGACCCTGGCTCCGGGCGCAGAGTCTGGCTGGGGGTGGGGGTGGGGGGGGGTGGAGGGCGCATCAGCTCTACGGAACTGCTCCCTCCAGCTACTCCCAAAGCCTGGGCAGGGGGGGGTGCTGGCAGTCCAGCAGCCCCTTATTAAGGAGTTTCCTGTTTGTTTTTTTAACTCTGTTTTCTCTGGGATATAAATAAATGTTTCTCCTGTAGCCCTCACCAGTGTGCAGATTTAGACATCCTCCCCAGTGCAGTCGGGGAGGGCGTGACCCTGGCAGTAGAATAAAGCAGAAGAGGGGAGGGTAGTGTCTTGACGGGGACAGGATACCCCGCAGTTCTCCAGATAAGGGCGGCTCTGGGCCCAGCAGCCTCAAGTCGGGTCACGCGGGGCTTTAGAGGAGGATAGAAACGCATGCACAAGAGGGTGAGAAGCATCCCTGCTTAATAAAAGACGTGAAAACTGAGCAGAAAGCATGCTGGCAGGGGGTGGTTGGTTTCCAGCTAGAGAAGGTCCTCACTGACTTCCGGGCACAGGCGCCCGTGTTTCTAAGTGTGCTCATTTGTGAGGGACCTGTGCTCACCCTCCCAGGGCGTCCCACTGCTCGCCACCCCCAAGAGCCCCACCCAGGGGCTGGCACAGGCCTCCAGAGCAGTGGGACAAGGAGGCGCAGAAGAAGACACGGGCAGTAACAGGGCCACATGGAGACAAGACCTCGCTTCCTGTTCTCTGCGACCCGTCCCTCCCCTTCACTCTTGCTTGAAGGAGCACCACCCTCTGGGCCAGTCGCTGAGCGGAGCCTTAGGCCAAAGAGCGGTCCCTGCAGGCTGAGAACGCTTCTCCTGCTGTGAGCAAAGGGTGGGTGGCGTTCTCCCAAGTGTACGTTTGGCAAGGGGTTGGTCACTTCAGAAGCCTGGGTTTATTTCCCGAGGCCTGCAGCTTTGCGTGCCTTTAGGACAGAAACCCGCCTCACGTTTCGTCTTTCTCTCCTGGTGAAGTGCACAGCTCCCTCAGCTCTTGTGCACGTTGACTTGGCCACTTAAGACAGTGTGACTTCGGACCAGAGCCTCGCCAGACGGTCCAGCGCTTCAGCAAGGGACGCTGTACCTTCTCTGTGCCAGCACCGTGCTAAGCTGTTTATACATACGTTCTCCTCAACCCCTGCCTCAGCCTTGCAAGAAAGCTGCTGTTCTTTCCACTTCATAGAAAATTAAAGTGAAGTTACACTTCACTTTTATTAAAGAACTTGCCCTAGTTTTCTCAATTAAACACCTAGTAGAGCTATTATTCAAACCCAGGTCTGCCGAACATCAGAGCTCTCTCCGTCACCCATGCTGCCTCTCTGAATTGACAACCAGCCTTTTTTCCTTTATTTTTTATTTATTTATTTTTTTGCAGTACGCGGGCCTCTCGCTGTTGTGGCCTCTCCCGTTGGCGGAGCACAGGCTCCGGACGCGCAGGCTCAGCGGCCACGGCTCACGGGCCCAGCCGCTCCGCGGCATGTGGGATCCTCCCGGACCGGGGCACGAACCCGCGTCCCCTGCATCGGCAGGCGGACTCTCAACCACTGCACCACCAGGGAAGCCCTTTTCCTTTATTTTTATTTTTTATTATTAACTACTTCTCCCCCTTCTTGTCACTGCCACTTAGACCATCTCCATCATGTAGCCATATGTTCAGCAAAGCATAAAGAGCATTTAAATAATTCCCTATAATCCTCCCCACCCCAAAACAATTACCATTAATTAACATGTAGGTACACCTCTTTCAAAGGGTCTCTGGGTTGTCCCTTTGTGATATGCTTACAACTGCTAACCTTTAACATCCAGCTGGGGTTGGTGGTCCACCCCCCAGCTTTCTGGCATACAACCCAAATGCCCATCAACTGATAAATACATAAACAAAATTGGTATACCCAATCAATGACCTCTCCCGTTGCGGAGCACAGGCTCCGGACGCGCAGGCTCAGCGGCCATGGCTCGCGGGCCCAGCTGCTCCGGGGCATGTGGGATCCTCCCAGACCGGGTCACGAACCTGCGTCCCCTGCATCGGCAGACGGCACCGCGCCACCATGGAAGCCCCGGAAACCCCATTTCACGCTAGTAGTCATCCGTGTTTCGGGGGAACTTTTCTTTTTACAAAGTGTGCTCTCATTCATCTTCAAAGTAGCCCCATAAAATGGGCAAATGACGTGTTACATCAGACCCATTTTACTGATGAGAAAATTGAGTTTGGGAATGTTGAGAACTTGCCTTGATTCATGTAATCCAGGCTTAAGTTGCCTGGGAAATGTTCTCGTTTCCTATCCAATGCCCCTCTATTACATCAGTATTTACTGTGTGCCAGGCACTGTCTCAGAGCTGGGAAAGGACAAAGCTGTGACAAGGACCCCAGGGTTCTGGCTCCCAGTCCACCATCAGCTTGCCTCTTGTGTTTAATCTCTGTGTAGCTGTGTTAGAGGATTTCCAAGAGAAGCTTTCCAGTTTCCAGGATAACTTAACCATCAGTACAGTATACTCTGGATTTTTAGTCCTTCTTTAAGGGAATAGAAATTACCTGGATGTGTACATCTACATATGTGGATCTCTGCAGCTTATGTGCGGTGGATTTGGGGTTCCTTCCAGTTTCCTTTCCCTAAACCCTCTACTAACACCGCTGACCAGTAATGGTTTTCCTTTCCTTCCTGTCATCCTCCTTCGGAGGTGGTCCTGGCACCTAAGGGCCAGGCAGAGAAGAGGTGAGGTGACTGAGCTGTAGGGGGAGGTGGTCCACGGAGGTGCCCAAGCAGATGTGTCCCAGAGGGAGAGAGAAAGGCTTGCGGGAGAGACACTGGCCAGAATGAGAGAGCGAGGCCAGGCCTCCCTCTGCCCCTCCTTCCACATCCTTGAATCATGGCAAAGGCAAATTCTGCACCATATAAACAAAGAACTAAAACCTGCTTCAAGCATCCAGCAAAATTCTCAGTCAGTCACAACAGTCAGAGTGGAAATGAAAGCATCTCCATTGTGAATAGTTATTTGTTGCTATATAAGCAACAGATACTATGCAGATAAACAAAAACTATGGAGATAAGCTAAGGAATGTAACCAAATATTGTTTCTCAGCTGGTGGAAGGGAAATAGGTCCTGTGTCCCTATCACTGGCTGAGGTTCATAAGTTAAGATCTTCGTTTTAGTTGGGGTTTATAACATCTGGAGTAGGAGGTCCTTAACTCAGCTTCTCCACACCTACCGTTGCACCAGACAGTTGGGAATAAGTTGTCTCCATAAGTCAGCCGGCCTTGTTGACCCCTGATGCATGTTTGGAGGCATGGTGTTTATAAGGACACCTGGCGTGTGTCCAGAAGTTATAATTCTTCTGAATGTTCTGTCTCCATGACCTCAGTTCAGCCTGACACACTTCTGTGTGGGAAGAAGAGGCCACCTCACCTCACAGGGAAGTCACTGAGGCACAGAGAAAGGGGCCTTGCTCAAAGTGACCTACCATTAGTGACAGATGTGGGATAAGAACCCAGACTCCTGGTTGGGTTCCAGGACCCAGCATGACATGCAGCAGCTGACCCTGTGCTCTGATACTTGGTGAAATAAGAAGCCTGGAGGATTGTGGCTGAACCAGACATCTCCCATCCACTTACTGTGATTTGGTCCACTGAAAACCCGGGCAGATCCTTCCTTGGCAATTCCAAGACCTCATTGTGTGTCCTGGAATCCCCAAGGTGATGAAAAACTTCACTATATTTTGAGATAAGATCTTCCCCAAAACTCCTAAGTGGGGAGCCATTGCAACATTCAGCTAATTAACTCTTTGTAATATTTTTGTAGTATTTTTTGTAATATTTATGTTAAAAATACATGCATGAATAGATCAATGCGAGAAGTATTCAGTTGCTAATGTGATTAATGCAAATTTGCATGTACTTTTATGCTGTCTTCTGCTCAGAGACATTTATTGTTTCTCAGTCATGGAAATAATTAATAGAACAGATTCCAAAAAGCATGCATCCAGTGATGTCATAAGTATAGGCTGACAAACCAGTCTGTACTGAAGCAAGTTTCCTTCTGTTTCCTGTGGATTTCTCTAACTACATCACTGGACGTGGAAATTGCAGCCTGCAAACCATATTAAGTTTCATAGCAAATCTTGTTTGCACCACTTTTAGCAACAGCTGCATAGAGGAAGGAAACTGTGTCCCTTTATTGTGGAATTTGAACTTCTTAACGAAAAAAATCATTTGTAGAGCCCCCAGATTGGGGAAAAAAAATGGATTCAAAGAAAAGCATTAAAGGCTCAAGCCTCAAGAGACAGATATGCATCTTTTGATAGAATACCATGATAGAGGAAAGGAGAATGCAATTGTTTAATTGTTTTTACTTACAAGCTTCTTAGAATTAAAAAAAAAAAAAAGTCTTTCTGAGCCAAGGGCCCTTAACGGTGTTTCATTCCCGTTAGTCCCGATGTGGTCTCCCAAGTGACTCGCCCAAGGAGTGGGGCTGATCCCGTTACTATACGCAGGAGCAGCCTGGAGAGGGGGCTTCAGTGCCGGAAGCTAATGAGAACCACCGGCCTGGAGGCTGCTGCCAAAACGCGACTGTGTTCTCTCCAAGGCCCAGCCTTTCCAGCTCCGGAACACTGGAAGGGGGCCGTAGCTGCCACTCTGCCAGCACCCAGCTCAGTGTAGGGCCTCACACCTCCTCTCTCTTGTCTATTAAATAGAGGTATCACCTACGCCATTTATATTAAAGGCTTGTTCATAAGACACAAACGAGGCCGTGGCTGTGATCACCCTTTGAAAAGGAAGGGCCAGTGGTTCTTGAATTTGGCTGTGCGTTAGAACCATCTGGGGAGCTTTGAAAACCAGAAATTCTGATTTATTTGGTTTGGGGCAGGACCCAGGCATCAGTGGCTTTTAGAGATGCCCTGGGTGATTTTTCTCTGCAGCCAGGGCTTAGATGCACTGGTGTAGAGCGTTGGTTCCTAAGGACAGCTCGAGGATGATGTGTTTATGGGCTTGATGAGCCTGAGACTTACCAGCACAGAATGCTCATCAGTTTCCCCCACACGGTGGATGGAGAACGTGGCTCGAAGTTCTCATTTTTGTGTCTTACAATGACACAAAAGAGACGAAAATTAGCTTGGGTCCCTGGGTGCGGTTTAAGCCGTGTTTGTGATACGGATCCTGAAAGGAATCCCAGACCAGGCCGGGCGGGGAAGCAGGATGCCCGGTGATGAGTGGAAAGGTGCTGAAGAAGCTGAAAAAATGCACAGAAGGTTCTGCTCCATTTCAGGAGTCGGGATTGGTTGACTCTGTTTCCTTCCCTTGCCCACCCTTCAAATGACTGACATTTGTAGCTGTGTTTTGCAGTGATTCTGGACGTGGGAGCAGCCTCTTAGATAGAACCATTGCTGACAGACGACAGCTTAATACAATTACTTTGCCAGACTTCAGCGATCCCGAGACAGGTGAGAATAAAAAGCCAGAGGGGCCGAAATGGTGTCAACCAGAAGGGACACGGGGCCTGGCCCCAAGCCGCGCGGGATGAAGACCACCAGGGCCTGGGGCGGGAGAAGTCCTCACCCAAATAGGCTAAGCTCTCACCTGAGGTGCGTTTTCTCCAGTGTCTTTTTTCAAGTGTTTGTTCACAGTGGGGGGAAGGAATATTACTTGCCCAACACAGCTCTTTGAAATCTTTCTATTTTTCCCCTTGCTCTTGGAGCCGAAAATTCGAAACTAAAATTAGACTGTTCCCATCCCCATCAAGCTTCCCCTCTGCTTTTCTGTTTCTTTCTCTTTCTTTAGATTTCAGACCTTGCTAAAATCAAGCTTTTGGTTTCTAATCAGTTGCACATATGAACTCACACAACCCCACAAGAAACCCTGCAGGGAGAGGCAGGTGGGTTCAGAGCTTCTGAATCTACTGACCCCACGAGGAAGCTTGTGGCACTTACTGCCTCGGAGCAGATATTTACACCTCAGTTATCATTTGCGTTTCCACAGCTGCCTAAGGACAGAGGGGTAAAGATACCTCTGTGACCTCCAGAACTCCAAACAAGTAACTTTACTAGTAATACTGACTTTTCAGTGGCAATTCGGAGGACTCGACAGACCCACAAAATGTAAAGAAATCCACGGCGCTTTGAGCCTCGGGGATAGTTCCAGAGCATCATTTGGAAGCTGTTTGGGGTGCTTCTCCTGCCACCCCAGAGGGCCCTGGGTCAGGCTGAATCGCTGTCTGGGTACGCCTGGTCTTCTGTGGGTCGATTTCATGAAAGGAGCCTCCGGGTCTTTCTCCTGCACTGTGCCGGGTCCCGCCTCCTGACCAAGCCCCTCCAAAGAGCCAGAGAGCAGCCCCGAGGCGTGCACAGCCATCCTTGGAAAATCTCTCCCCCGGTGGCAATGGGAGCGGGTGTGGTACTCACCCAAGCCCGTCCTCACAGCTGCCTGCCTTCCTGTGCTAGTCTCCCTTTTACCAAATTTAAAGTCGGCTGAAGAAGCCTGATCCCAGGGCCCTGGGGCTCCTAGGTCAAAAGAGTGTTGGGCATTGGAAGCAGCATGAATTATAAATTAGTGCAGTTTAACAGGGCTTGCAGCCACTGCTCAAAGTGCAGGCCAGCTAGGCCACAGAGAAACTCGCCCCTGGAGTAGCCTGGCCCCTGGGTGGAGGGGCAGTCATTGGTGGGCTTAGACGGCGAACCAGGCAGACTCTGACCTGGGATGGCACAGCAGAGTTCTGCTTGTGGTCCAGACCTGCCAGAGGGACGTGTGTAGCCCCCCTCGCTGCAGGAGAGGGAAGGTCAGGCTGTCAGGACCTTAGCCACTGAGAGGTGAGGCTCGGACCCCGGGGAGAGAAGAGAGGGAGGTAACAGTCACTACGGCTGGCTCACAGCTGCTGTGGCTGCCCAGGGCCAGCTTCCCCTTCTCCCCTACCCCCAGGACCCTGCGAGGACACTCATAGTAAATTCAGACCCCTTTCCCCTCCAGCTGATCGGGACCTTAATTTCCCCTGAGGTCTGAGACTTTCATCCACATCACATTAAAAACAGACAGTGGGAGAAAATGAGTGAGGCCCTTGGGATTCATTCTCCCCTTTGCCCCTTGGGACCTTTTCCCCAGAGCCTCCAGGAGTCTCCCACTTCGGGTTAAACATCAGGTGCCGTAGCTTCCAGCCGAGGTGTGTCTCCATGGCAGAGTCGGGGGTCGCTGCCCCTTGTCCGTAGTGGACACTGCTCTCCCTCACTCTGGAGCCTGGGGGGTTGGAGTCTGGATCACTGGGGCAGGTGCCCTTGGACAACAGGACCAAACCACAGCCTCCCAGGCGCTGGCCAGTGACCAGTTTATTGTGTTGGTGTGGTTGTACGTCCACACGACGCCCTCCAAGACTCCTCTCACCAGCCCTGCCCCCACAGCCCCAAATCGTTGCTTTTCACACCACCAGTTACTTACCCAGGAGGCCAGGAATCAGAGAAACGGAAGGCCATGTTAGCAGGCCTTATCAGTTGCAGACTGATTATAGATGATGGTAAAACATTCTGAAGTGATCGTTAAAATCAGAGAGACTTAAAAATTAGGAAGGCTCGCCTATAAATGGAAAAGATGCCTCCATCTTGATTAATAAAGCCCAGTTTTAGATAGTTCAGCCCGTGGGTGGTCGCAGGAGGGCAGCGGTTCTTATTAGTGCATCAGTGAGGACTGCCTGTATCGTGAACGACCCACAGATTTGGTTCAAACTCTGATTCCGAAGGTTCCATAGAGATGTTTTTCTTCCATCCCTGCCCTTCCATCTTGCCTTTCCCTAAAGATAACCATTTTTTATTAGCTTTTTGTTTACCCTCCCATGCAAATAAGATTAGATCTTATTTCCCGTGTCCCTTGACTTGAAAATAGTATACCATATACGTGCTGCACAGCCCCTGTGACGTGTCCCTTTACACATGCCCTGAGGATTCCTCTGCATCTGTTTGGGAGAACGTCCTCAGGCTTCTGCCGTGCTTCTCTGCTTTTCGAAATGCGTCCGACCAGAGCACAGCCGGCAAAGACGTGTGGCCAAAGCCGAGGTGACCTGCCACGGTTGTGATACTGCCAATTCTGAGTCACCCAATGTGCAGTAGACTCCTCTGTGAAGCCACAGGCCCTCTTGGATTGTTGTTTTTGTCTTCCAGAACTAAAATTTATTTCCTTTTTAAAAAAATTTTCTACTGTGGAAAAATTTCAAGCATACCAAAATAGAAATACTCGTATAATGAATCCCCATGTACCTACCACCAGCCTTCAACAATTCCTATTCTTTTTTCCTGTATCTCTGCTGTCCCACACTTAGTTTTTGTAGACTATTTTGAGGCAGATCTCAGACATCATATTTTGCGGCAGATCTCAGACATCGTATTTTGCCTGTTAAAATTTCAGTGTATATGTCAAACAGATGAGAGCTCGGTTATAAAAATATAACCGAGATACCATTATTGTACATCTGGGTCATTACGCAGTACAGGCTCAGTGTTCTTGATTTTGGAAAGTGAATAATTAACTGGGGTATGGTCTTCCACCTCTGAAATTGTCCATATGCAGATCTGTGTAATAACATAAGGGGAACCCATGTCTAGAAGCTTTGGACTATAGCTGAGTCCACTGTGGCTAAAGAGTGGACGTTGGCTTTATTAAATGGATGTGGCAGACAGAAAAAAAAAAAACCCTTAAAGAATATGCTTTCCCTTCTAATATCACCTCTGGGTCCCCTTCCCCCCACCTCTGTCATCCAGTAGGTCCTAGCCATCAAGAGAGAGGAATCAAATGGAGTGACAGTCATTTAACTTTGAAGCTTTGAATCATTGTCTTTTCTTCGGAATAAATTAGTTCCTTAAATAGAGGAGGAAAAAGAATTCTTTTTCTTCCTTTTGCCTTCAAAACAGGAAGTGGAGTAAGGAGATTTATCTTTAATCATTGGTAGATATTACCAGACACCGATCCGTAGTAGTGATTCTTTTACCTTGAAAGTTTGATCCATTTTGTCTGGGAAAAATTTTAATTTGTCACTGCAGTGGTTCTCCCTACTGCTGTGTATCTGTCCAGCTGAAGGCGTGGAAGTGACAGTAATAGCTTCCTTTTCAAAGCGCCCGGCCAGTGGACCCAACCCTAGACCAGCTGAGCAAGCTTAGACTCCATTGTCACGATTCGGGGACCTGACCCATTGTTGCACCTCAGTATCTGCACCTAGGAAGACCTTAGTTTTCAAGTAAACTTTATATAAGTGCTTCTCATAAAAAACAAATCAAGGAAAAGTCAAGTTCTAATCCTTTCCAAACAAGCAGATAGTTTCTTTTCCTCCAGAATGTCCTGGGTATTCTAGGTTAAAGAGGTATTATTTTCAATGGATCATACTGCTGGATCTGTGCCCAGTAAACCTGAGATGTTTCTATGCCGTGGTGTTGTTGCAGAACAATTAAATAACCAGTGGAAAAAACAGCAAATTTGTTTGCTTCGAAAAGCACTTGTATTCTCTTGTCAGGTAGATGAATGATTGTGTATTACATGACCTCATTTTCTTTGCAGCTTATGTGAGTATATTAAAAGCCAGTTTATTTTTTTTCTTTGTGTTTCTAAAGTTTTTTTGCCTTTATCCTTTTGTTTTTTTCTCTCTCTTTCATGTTTTTAGTGTCAGATTCCTCCTCCTCTTCTCTTTCAAGAACCGAACCTCCTCTCCACCTGTTTGTATCTTCTCATCTTCATTCTCATCCCAAACCCGATACCTTTGTGTGGCCCCCGGCAGCTCATTCAGTCAGTGACCCAGGTCCCCGCCAGGAACCCTCTCTGTGTAAACATGGTTTATGGTTTTTTTCCTTTCTTGTTAGATCTGCTTCATTTGCCTGATGTTTTATTTTCTGATAATCTTCCTAACTGATAAGCTGGATCGGAAACTCCATCAAATTTACCTGAGAGAAAATCGTGCTAGTTTGAAAATCCAAAAACTGTGCGGGCAGAAGGAGACCTTGGTGCCCAAGTTCCAACCTCCCTTTTAAAAAGTAAAGGAAATCTGTTTAGAGCAGAATCGATAGAAGCTTCTCTGGAACATCGCTTCTAGTTCTTGGGGGCTTCTGTGCTTTCCTGGAGTTGATATAAATTCATACAGATCTCATTTTTTAAAAAGACAAATTAGAACATTTTGCAAATAATAATTTGCTCCTAATTATTTCTGGTTTTCAGTTTAGAAATTAATTCAACAAGTATATAGTAATCAAGGTAGTATTCTAAAGATATCAGTCATATGCCTTTTAAGTATGTGGTTCTCAAACCTTACCGTGCGTTAAAATCACCCAGAGAGCTTTGAAAACTGCAGATTCTCTGGGCCCTACGCCCGGAGTTTATGATTCAGGAGGCCTGAGGTGGGGCCCAAGAATCTGGATTTATAAAATACCTTCTTATGATCCCGATGCCAGTGGGTTGTGTACTACATTTTGAAAAACAATGC